CTCGACGATAAAATGCAAATTAAACTCGTTTTGTTTAATAAAAAATTAAAAAAAAAAAGAAAAAGAAAAAAGAAATTCAGATTTTGCCAGAAAAATTTGCCAGATGAAAAAAAAAAAAAATAAATTAATTAAAAAGAATTAAAGGTATGAAATGAGGTATATGCAATTCAATATGAACAACAAGGTTTGTACAAGAAATTTTGATTGATCGAAGAAAAGGATAACGGGAGGAGCGAGAATAGTGATTGTAATAAATTATTGTGGGCATGATTAGGGTAATTAATATATTAAAAAGAATGTGAATGCAACACGGCTGATGCACGTGTATAAATAAGTATGCGTAACTATACAATTAGGCACATGATATATACTACTGTACTAGAAGCGAAGAAAATAGTGATCCTGATAAGAATAAAAAAGAAAATGATAACAATAGTGATGATAAAATGAAAATAATATTAATAGAAAGTGATATAATATACCTTCCCATTCCCAACATAATATTTTATTAGATTAAGGTTACTACAAAGAGACGATTTATGCATTTATGTATATATTTCGAGGTGACGTCATCCTTTATGTTTCAGGATGAAAGAAATCGGCCATGTCCAAGAAACGTTCCTGAAGGTATTCGCCAAGCACATCGCTATAAGGGGAATAAAGAAAGTCTTCAACCCAACCATCAATATACAAAGATTCCAATTGTGCCTTGGTGTTCTGTAAGAAGAAATGCATCGGCTTTGCTCCGATGAATATCCATATGTTGAGATGTTTGAGAGCGGCCGGAACGTGTTTTCCCAGATCTGGCCAAAGTTTTTCTAAATCACCCTCCGGCTTGCCCATTGAGAATAAGCTGAGTCTTTCGATCCTGCATCCAGGAGTTGAAAGAATCTGCGTCAAGTATGGAACCTCATCGGCACCGATGGCGATGCCAAGTGTTTTCAATTTTGGACTCCAACGCGATATGCTTTTTATGATCGAGGTAGACAAGATATTGTGTTCTTCATCCTCCCATGGTTGATAGAACACTTCTTCTAGATTCTTGGGATTCTTTTGGATCACGGTGGCAACAAAATGTCCCCAGAGGATCGAAGAATCGACGACTCGAATTTTGCGTAGATTCGGCAACTCGGCCAAAAAGATTGGTTCCAATGAGCAGCCAGAGCCGTCCGTGCATCGCTGAATTTCTAGTTCCTCAATGCTCGTACACGTTGTCAGGGCAAAAATCGAATTATCACTTGGGAACGGAACCCCCCGGAGCTTCAGGGATACGAGGGTATCGGCCTGACTCGCGAGAGGCAGGAAGATATTTGATGAGAAGCCGTTAACAGCGTCATAGCAAGACAGCGAAAACTTGCGCAAATTGTGTTGAGAGAATATCAATGATGAAAGGTAATTTGAATCATCGAAATTTTGAAGATCAGGATCTGATGATTTCGTAACCGACAAATCCTCAATATTTTCCGATTGCCTGTGAAGTGCATCGAATATGAAGGTGTCAGTGGTGTAACGGATGGACAAGGTCCTGACATCACGAAGGCATAGATCAACCCCGAGGTCTCTGGGAACTGTGAGAGACCCACGCTTCTTGCTCGGCCTGTCCAAACTGAGTGATTGAATGTTCGACCGCTTTCCAAAGAACAGGCGACACAGAGCGCAGTACACCAAGAGAGCTAGCTCATTGATTTCGTTGGTGCTAGAGAAGAGTTCGGCAGAATAAAAGCATGTTAGCGGCAGAATGACGAAAGTAGTTTTTTTCTAAAGTGTTGTTACTACTTACTTTATTTGAGGCATCGAGCGCCGTCTGGTCAACCGTTGTTGTGTCCAACAGAGAACGGTGGTGTAGAGTCTTTCCATGCTAAGATTTGGGATGAAAGAAGCATAGTTGAAGGTCGGGGCCTTTCTGTATTGAGAAGGTATTCGGATTCCATTTTCGATGAGTTCGTGTCTATCGGCGTCCGAGAGACATGCGATGAATATGTTTATGAGCGAGGCCGGCGGTGGGGTTGATTGTGCGAAAGGGTGTGCCCACAGGTATGGAATGGCGATTTCACACCAAAGCCTATTGACCAAGATGCAAGAGTGAAGCGACTTGATATCATCCTTGAGAAGGTTAAAGATATCATAAAGGCAGTCCGCCGGAAGACGAGCAGAATGCACTTGTCTTCTCCGACCGAACATTCTAAACAAAGAATTCTTGCGTAGTATCCTACTCATTTTCGATTTCTCCAAAGTTTTTTTTTTTGAGGCTGTCTCTTTTATTCTCTTGACTGCAAGCTTTAGTTTGGCTGCTTAAAATTTATTAAAGACGAAAAATTTTCAAAAACAAAAGTGATAAGGAGCAGAAGAAAGTTTATGTGATTAATTATCTTTAATCCATTAATATTCTGTTAAAAAAGTGTTTCGCATAACTATTGGAAATGGAAATGATTGCTTAATGTTGCACGACTCTTCGCAACACACTGCACATGTACATGAAACAACAAAGAGTATTAGTAGTGAAGGTCGAGAGGTTAAAAGATAGGTGAATTGATTTCCGCAGTGACCATCTCAATATTTATAGTCGGTCACTCGGCTCAACTTATCCGTTCTTTTTGGAATACAATAAAAAATATACACATGCACATATATATATGAGCACAATTCACTCTATTGTAACAACAATTACATTATGTACTATT